TATTCTGTCCTGTGTTTTCAATGTCCATGTTCTCCTCATTCTGATCCAATTCACGGAATGATTTTTTTCACTGGCTCATGTAATACAGTATATATATTGTAAATATTCACTTACTATGTCTCAGATAGCCACCAGACTGACTTAACTAAAACTTAAACCACAAAAGAAATACAAAGGTACGATTGTTTCTGTCCACCTATGAATCTGCAGAAAGGCCTCAATTTTGCTGTCATTGGAGTCCATTGTTAAATTCCCTATTTACATCAATGTGCCACATTAAGACGGGCAATGATCCTGCAAGGTGCTGAGTGTCCTCCACTTCCATTTAATGTCAATAATTGCATTAGTCCAGCTGTTTATCTTTTAAACCATAATTTATGATCCTATCTGCCTGTCTGATCTGGTGATATTTTTGTTCCTCATTTTCATGCAGCACCATTAAAGTCAGTGGGATATAAATCAGAATAGAATTTCGCCCCATACGTTCAGAATGAACCTATTACTGTAGTGATTGGGAGGTCATATATGTTAATGTATTTCATTCAGCGTTTATGTGGGAGGGGAGAGTGTATGAATTTGTAGCTGTTTCCTTGTAATTTTGTTTTATATACTGTAAAATCAAAAAGAGATTGGGGAAAAAAAGTAATTTTAAATTATCCTGTTCCTGGCTTGTGTTTTTTTTTTTTTTTTAAATTTGTGGTCACATCTTCAAAGAAGTTTTATCGACTTCAGTGCGAGTAGCATTAGGCCAAGGCTGAGCCATTTTGAAAAAACCACCCACAATTTGGAAGATCATCAGACCTCACCCCAGAAGGCTGACAGCATTTTCCATATTAATGGCCAAATCCTGACTGCTCCTTTCCCACAGAGTGTGATACCACCATAGAGCGAGGGCAGGCTTTGGAGAGGCCAGGCGGGAACATTCCTTGGAATGGGGTTTAGTCTCACAGACCTATTCTGTCCTGTGTTTTTAATGTCCATGTTCTCCTCATACTGATCCAATTCACGGAATGATTTTTTTCACTGGCTCATGTAATACAGTATATATATTGTAAATATTCACTTACTATGTCTCAGATAGCCACCAGACTGACTTAACTAAAACTTAAACCACAAAAGAAATACAAAGGTACGATTGTTTCTGTCCACCTATGAATCTGCAGAAAGGCCTCAATTTTGCTGTCATTGGAGTCCATTGTTAAATTCCCTATTTACCTCAATGTGCCACATTAAGACAGGCAGTGATCCTGCAAGGTGCTGAGTGTCCTCCACTTCCATTTAATGTCAATAATTGCATTAGTCCAGCTGTTTATCTTTTAAACCATAATTTATGATCCTATCTGCCTGTCTGATCTGGTGATATTTTTGTTCCTCATTTTCATGCAGCACCATTAAAGTCAGTGGGATATAAATCAGAATAGAATTTCACCCCATATGTTCAGAATGAACCTATTACTGTAGTGATTGGGAGGTCATATATGTTAATGTATTTCATTCAGCGTTTATGTGGGAGGGGAGAGTGTATGAATTTGTAGCTGTTTCCTTGTAATTTTGTTTTATATACTGTAAAATCAAAAAGAGATTGGGGAAAAAAAGTAATTTTAAATTATCCTGTCCCTGGCTTGTGTGTTTTTTTTTTTTTAATTTGTGGTCACATCTTCAAAGAAGTTTTATCGACTTCAGTGCGAGTAGCATTAGGCCAAGGCTGAGCCATTTTGAAAAAACCACCCACAATTTGGAAGATCATCAGACCTCACCCCAGAAGGCTGACAGCATTTTCCATATTAATGGCCAAATCCTGACTGCTCCTTTCCCACAGAGTGTGATACCACCATAGAGCAAGGGCAGGCTGTGGAGAGGCCAGGCGGGAACGTTCCTTGGAATGGGGTTTAGTCTCACAGACCTATTCTGTCCTGTCTTTTTAATGTCCATGTTCTCCTCATTTCATTTTGTCAAGCTTTTACTCCTGGCATTCTCAGTTCTCTGTTCTCTAGCCTCTGTGATCTCTCTCTTAGTCTATTCTCTCTCCTCTCATCCCTCGGTTTTCCATGAGATCCATTTTCCTCCCTTGTCCCACTCAGAAATCTCTCTCCATCTTCTACTGTTTCCTTTCCTTTTATCTCCCTGCCCTGATATGTGTCCTTTCCCCCAACTGTCAGTTGCTGCAGTTAAGAGTGTAGGCCAGTTTCCCTTTCCTCTTCTCCCCATGTTTTCTCGTGTCCCACCTAAGAGGACCACTGCTGCTGCTCCTGAAGGAGTGTGTACAGAGGACAAGGCCCAAGTCTCATTATGTCGGCTGCCAGTATTAATCCCACTGTGCCACCCCTCCACATTCACAGAGTCTCGTAATGCAAATGACAGCCCAGTGTTTGTCTTTTTAAATTCTTGGAGGGTACTTGGATACTAGGGATGTTAAAAGCGGGTAATAGAATAGTCGACTAACTGCATGAATTCTTAGCGGTTATTCAACTTTTCTGTAGTAGCCGGAAGTGGGGCTGGCAGCCAGTGCACTCTGGCCCCATACCCGGGGAGCCCTCTGCCACCCTGTGCTGCTGCCTCTTTATCAGAAACAACAGCGTGGGGTGCCAGGTGGGAGCCAGTTTAAAACTAGTTCCCGTCATGGACAGGTTGCCTGCCGCCCCGTGCTGCTGCCTCTGTATCAGAGGCAGCAGCAGCCCCTGTCTGGGGAGAGGGAGGTCAAAGCTCCCCATGGACAGAGGCTGCTGTGGGGGAGAGGTGGGGTAGGCTCTCACAAAGCAGCCTCTGCCCATGGTGGCCCTGGCTGGCATTGGACAGAGGCTGCTCCAGCCCCAGCTCCTAATTCCTACCCCCCCTTGGTGTCAAGTAGTCAAGAAGCCTAGGCTTATCGGTTAATTGTCTGCTCAACTACTCATTCACATCCATATTGGATCCTATAATTGTGGCGGTCATAACCTATCAGTATCTCCTCCATAAATAGGTCCAGTTCTCCTTACGGCTTCCAAAAGAGAGGACTATTAGAACTGGGCTTTCTGAGCCCCAAAGGTCAACTCTAGGTGCCTGGTCCTGAAAACACTACTGTTTAGCTTTATGCATGTGAGTAATCCTGTTGAGCTTGACAGACGGATCAGAATAAGGAGAGCAGGAAGATAACCAGATAAACAGACATAATTAGAAAGTTTAGTCGGTAAAGATTCTTAGCGGGATCTGGTTCTGAGTTATAGAGTGGCAGAAATCTTTTTTCTGTGATTAAAAACCATAAATGCCATGGCTATTTTATCTGCAGACACTAGTAACTGCAGAAGAGGAACTAGTTTTGTGGTCAAGGAGCCTGTAGCATGAGTCCATTAACATACCATTTAACTCTAATGAATTGACTAAAGTACTTAGCATGCTCATAATGACAGAATAGTGGAGTAATTTTTAACATACCTATACAATTACAGGTTACACCTTCCTAGTCCGGCATCCTCAGGACTTGAGTGGCCCCTAAGGAGGGAGTTTGCCAGACCAGAGAAGGTCAAGCCTCTGGCTCTTCTGAGGTTCCCCTCCGGCCAGTCTGCTGCCCCCAGCCATTTTCGGGGCTCCACTCCTGGCTGCTGCCCCGCTCTGGTCCGTGCATCTCCCTGCCTTCAGCCAGCAGCGGCTCTGTGCTCCCAAGCTGCACGGGCTCCATGCCTCCAGCTGCAGGGTCTTCCCTGCCCCCAGGCGACAGCAGATCCATGCCCCCAGTCAGTAGGGGCTCTGTGTACCCGGATGGCGGCAGCTCCGCAACACCATCCAGCAGGGGCTATGCTCTCAGCTGGCGGGACTTCCAGCCCAGCACTGCTCCAGATGCTGGCCGCTAGCTAGCCCTCCATGCTGCCTGCCTAGCTGAGCTCCCAGCTGCTGGCGACCTTTGTGGCTGGGGCTCTCTGGTCCAGCGACATCTATGGTCCTGCTGGACCAGAGAATCCTGGATGACAGAGGTTCAACTGGTATTAATTTCCACAGTGTGATTTATAACCACAGTTTCCAGAAATCTATGATATAATCTGCTCCATTCTCCTTGTTGCAAGGTTATAGGCTACCTGTAAACATACACATTTCTTGTTCCTCTCCACCAATATTTTTTTGCTTGGCAATTTGAATCTTTGTTAAAATGAGTAAAATGAGTAAAATGATAATAGGTCATACATTAAATATGCCTCAACAATGTTATACATGATAATAGATCATACATTAAATATGCCTCAACAATGTTATATTGTTCAACTAAGGACATCATGCCATAGTTACCACATTAATAATTTCTACAAAAATGAGCGATACCGTAATTCTATTCTACAGAATAGACCTCAAGTACAACTTGCATTCAGCTTTGGGCACCACGTTTCAAAAGAGACATGAACATATTAAAGAGAGTTCAGAAGAGAGCCACAAAACTGACAAAAGGTTTGAAAAATAAGAATTATGAGGGGAAGTTAAGAGAACTGGGGAAATTCAGTGTGAAAAAATACAACTCAAGTGAGACATAACTGTCCAGAAATACATTACAGGATGTTATAAAGATGATAAGGATCAGTCCTGGAGGGCAGAACAAAAAATAATGGGCCTAAGCTGTAGCAGAGAGAATTTAAGTTAAGTAGTAGGATAAATCTAGTTATTGTGGAAGATAGGTAATGAAGTAAGGCACAAAGGAAGATTTATAATTTATGGAAGTGCAGATAGTCAGGGTCATAAAGTACCAATCTATCAAGGTTGTATAGTAATAATTTAATAAATACTTCCAGGAAGATGAAGTCAGTTATCTACTTTAGGTTGCTTCCACACACATGAGTCAATTTTAAAAAGTCACCTTTGATTTAAATGGGAAATAGTGCTCTAATACGATAAGAAATGTGAAATTGATTTTCCTTTAAGAATAGCAATGAAACAAGAGAAAATGTGTGTCTCTAGAAAGAAAGACTGCTGGAGTTGTCCTGTAGCCTTTTCTGAATGTGAATAAGTTGAAATAATCTATTTTTTTCCTTTCTTTTTAGGCTTGTAAATATTACAATTCTCAGTGGCACGTTGTGAACTACAAATATGAAAAGTATTCGGGAGATTTTCGACACTTACCACAGTAAGAACTTCACAAGTTCTGCATTTTCTTTTTCCAGTTCGGTTCTGTTTCCCTGAGTCACGTCAATTTTCCACTTTCCTCCTTCCTAAATGTGGTTGTTTTGTAATAAACAGACTGAGCCACATTTAACAAACAAAAAAAAAAAGCAGAGGCAAGGATTTAGGATCACAGTGGCCAAGGCTCTGCAAACAGCTTCAGTTATATCTACTAAACTCTTTTAATCTATATTCAATTAAATTACTATTCTTTATTATGATTTGTATATGCAAAATACTGATTGGTACAGACTAGCCTGCTTTTCATTGTTATTCAAAAGAATAAATGTGATCACTGTTTTACCCATGCCTAATTCTCCTGTCAGTTATGGTGATATAAAATTGGAGTAGATTGTTTAGTTACTCTGGATTTACACCAAAATAAATGAATTTAGAATCTGGCCTGTGACGAATAATGCAAGAGTGTATGTGCACATGTTTCTCAAGGTCTTCAGCTTTTACAGCATTTGGCTGTTGTGTGAATAATGAACATTTCCATGGGATGTAGGTTACAAAATAAACGTATGGTAGGACTTGGTCATGGTTTCATTATAACCATCCCCATAAAGCATTCTGCAGCCATTAGGCATGAGTGTCTTCTTAGTTACACTAATGGAAATCAGGAGTCAGTTTTCTTGAAGTCAGTGAAGTAAAAGCATGTAAAAGTTGTGGAAGTTAGTAGATGATGATATTCCTTGGCTTCAAGGAAGAGAAATGAAAGTCTTTGTGCCATTTTCTAGGTACTATACAGGCCCATATGCAGAGATTTCTATGGAGGGGGTGTTTTTTTTGTAAATATGGACTGCAATTTTTTTAAATACAAAGGAGTTCAAATTAGTCATGCAATGTGTGCGCATAATGAAAAATTTGAGTAGAAACAGTCATTGGTAAAATGATTTTGTTATAACACACTAAAAGTTATAACATACTAAAAGTTTATGCAGTAATAAAGGTTTTATAGAAATTACCTTCTGGTATCTTGCTGTAATATTGTAAGTGAAAAACTATATTCCAAAAAGTTCCTGGCTGCCTGGGAGAGCTGGGGCAAAATCAGCCCCTGTCTGGCCGGGCCATGGCTGCAGCAGTCAGCCGGAGCCATGGGAGGGGCCGGTGGCTGCCCTGCTCCTGCCATGGTGGCCCAGCCCCGCCTCCGGCTTGCTCCTGGGGGAGGGAGGGTTACCAGCCCTAGCCTTCCCCTAGCAAGCAAGAGCATAGGGGAGGGAGGCTCACGCAACACACCATCCCAGCCTTCCCCAGTCCGGCCGGAATCGGATTATGAGGGGATGAGTTCCCCCCCTTCACATACACGCCCCTGAGTATGGGCCTGTGTACAAGTGCGGTTGTTCCTAATACCACATTTTCCCAACAAGAAGCATATGCTTTAAAACAGAGATCAATAGTGAGCAGCAAATGAAATTACAGAACCCAGAAATGAACATTAACTCCATCTTCCTCAGAATTCGAGGCATTAAAATTGTGATCCTGCATTCTTGTAAAAAGGATTGCAACAAGAGCAAGGAATAGCCAACTGCAGGAATTGATTCTCTGGATGCTGATTGGATTAAGGATGAGAGATGGTACAAGCTGAATCTATTCTTGGAGCAGTCTTAAGATCTCCGTTTACAGTTTTCTTCAGATGCTCTGCACACAGAGCATGTACTATAAGCCTTCCTTTCTATCTACAATTCCTCTCTTGTTTATGAATCTTACTATGGACAGAGAGTGTGTTAATCCTAGAGGCAAAGAAAAACAGTGACACCGTTCTTAGATGCTGTTGTGTTTAGCTAACTTTTTGCTCTGCAGGACAGCTTATATTTTAAAATGATGGTCTGTGTGTGCAGGAGAGGAAATTGAAAACGCAGTATTTTTCAGTCCAGGTTTACAAGTACTGTCCCTCTTATGAAATATTCAACAAGTTGAAACTGTTTCTGACATGGAGTTTGTAGTATTTTGCATGAAAGTAATTTGTACTCCGTATGTACACTGTCTTCCACGGAGGTTGTGTTAGTCCATTTACACTGCTGTCAGCAGTTCTCTACTTTTCACATCCACCTGGGATATTATGGGGTCTTGTTTCCACATAATGGGTTATTGTCAAAACCTGCACATTTTGCTTATATAACAGAGTATGACTGAGACCTTCCAGTGTACATTCTCTTGAATCTCTAAAGAAACTTTACAACAGGTCTATCCAAACATTGCCAAACTGATAGCTGCACTGGCATTTGGACAAGAGAGTGAACCTGATTTGCCTTGAATGAAGCCAGTTGCAAATAGCCTCCTTTTATTGTGATGCTTAGATAGAGCATCAGATACTGTGACCATTGTAGGCTGCACCTCTGCGTTAAAAATAAGAATGTCTTCAAGCAGAGTTCCCTGTAAGCTGAGCAAGGGTGCCATTTCAGGAGAGCAGGGTGGGGGGCAGCAGCTGTGCATACCAGTATGCTGCTTGCTCTTTTTCCTGTTCCCCTGACTATCAGGGAGCGAGGGGAAACTACACAGATTTTGTGAATTACTCCTCTGCTCCTCCCCTCACCAGTCAGGAGTGAGAGGCTTGCACACAAGTCATGCGTTTTGCTTTCGCTCCCTGATAGTATGGGGAATGGGAAGAAAAGCAAGCAGCATCCTGGTATGAACAGCTGCTGTCCCACCCCCGGGTTCTTCTGAAATGACGCCCTTGTCCATTAGCCATAGTTTAGAGCATTTTACATAGAGCACTCATCACATAGCACTGAGCATTTGTACTATCATGTCTAAAGAGGAATCCGTCGGTTCTCTTAGATTCAACTTTAAGGCCAGAAGAGAACATTGTAATTATATAGTCAGACCTCCTATTCACTGCAAGCCACAGAAATTTGTCCATACACTCTTGTAATACATCCATAACTTCTGGTTGAATTATTCAAGTCTCCAAATCATGATTGTGGCATATGCTAGATAGGAAGGCCCCAAAATACCCAACGTCTCTGCCAGTCTCACATGGGGAAAATTCTTTCCAGACAGCAGATTTGGAGGCCATTTGGACCCTGAGCATATCGCCAAGACTCATGAGCCAGATGTCCAAGAAACAAATTCTCTATAGTAATTCAGGCTAGGTCTACACTACAGAGTTTTTTTTTACAAAACCAGTCATTTTTGCGCAAAACCTCTCAGAGCATGCACACCTCAAGCATATGTTTGCATAAGTAAAATGAAAGAAGAGAGGGGTTTTTCCGGCGTAGGTATTCCTCCTTCTTCGAGGAATAACTCCTTTTTGCGCAAGGGTTCTTGTGCAAAAAGGTGTGTGTGGACAGGCAAGAGGGTTTTTTTGGAGCAAAAACAGGAAAGAAGAAAAAACACAGGTGCCCTTGTGGCCATTCTGTGGTGAGCAATCAGAGCTTTCTTTCAAGAAAGCCTCCATGCAGTCTGGATGCTCTCTTGTGCAAAAGCACATTGCTTTTTTGATGCGCTTTGGAAGTGTGGACGCTCTCTTGAGCAAGAAGTTTTTGCAGAAGATCTCTTCCGCAAAAAGCTTCTTGCCCAAGAAGCCTTCAGTGTAAACATAGCCTCAGAGCCCTCCCCATCCTAGTATCCCATCTCCAGCCATTGGGAGATACTTACTTGTAACAGTGGCAAGTGGGCTGCATCTCCCACCTCCATGTAGCTAGTGGCCTCTCCTGGAGCTTCCATGTGTATTTATGGACAACATTTGTCGAATTTTGCAGAATTTTAAAATTTTGTTCACAAAATTTTTATTTTTTTGCCACAGAATTCCCTCAGGAATATACAATGGTACTAACACTTCCCTGTCTCTCCTGGAAATACCTTGCCTGATACACCTGAAGATTGCATTAGCCTTTTTTAGGGACATGTAACAGTGGAGCCACAAAGTCACCTTGTGATTGACCAATACAATCAGGTCTTTCTCTTGCTCTGTCACTTCCAACTGATATGTCTCTAGCTTATAGCAACAATTTTTGTTGTTAGTTCCTGAGTGCAGGATGTTGTACTATTAAATTTCATCCCATTTCTATTACTCCCCCTTTCAAGATCATCCAGATTTTCTTGTATGATATTCTGGTAATCCTCTTTATTGTCAGTACTTCACAACATTGTGTCATATGCAGATTTTATTAGCACATTCTGACTTTTTGTGCTAAGTTAATTAATGAATATATTAAATAATATTGGTCTTAAGACTAGTCCCCGATGAACTCCACTGGTAACTTCCTTCCAGCCTGACAGTTCATCTTTCATTATGATCATTGCAGTCTCCCTTTTTAACCAGTTCCTTGTCCACCTTTCAATTCCCATCTTCTGCATCTTCTCCACTTTAACACATGATTTTCAGGGTGGAACTGTAGCAAATATTTTACTGAATTCCAGGCAGATTCGATCTTATGTCTAAAAAATCAGTTATGTTCTCAAAGAAAAAGGTCAGTCATGTGCAATCTACCTTTTGTAAATCCTTTTGCTGTATTTTATGTCAATTAGTATTTACCTTCATTTCCTTAACTCCTTTCTCATTCAAGATTTGTTCCAAGTTCTTGCATACAATTGAGGTCAAACTAATAGGCCTGTAGTATAATTGATCCATTTCCCCCCTTTCTTAAAAATAAGCACCATTTCAGTAATTCTCCAAACAAATTTATAGATTAATTAAAATCCTTTCTGTTGGGTTTGCAATTTAATGTGCCACTTCCTTTAATATTCTTGGCTGAAGATTATCCAAGCCTTTTATGTTTGAGTTGGGCTTCTACCTTGGATTTGGTATTTCTATTTCTCATGTCCATTACCTGCTCTGCCACTACTCCTAAGCCCCTAATTATCTTTATTAAAAACTGAGGCAAAGTATTTGTTTAGATGTTGGGCCATGCCTAGATTTATCTTTAATCTCCATCTTTTCCTCAGTGTTTCCTCACTTTTTCACTTGTTTTCTTATTTGCATGGCTACAGATTCTCTTATTATTGCTTTCGTCACTGATT